AGTATATAGGTTATAATTTTATGCTAAAATGGGTTCAGAATACACACACTGACATAGTCATCTAGAATAAATCAACCTAATAATCCAAGCAAAACCGGATACTTTCGCTAATGTTTTAATATTAGAAGATATGACTAGGATGAAAGTTTTTTTAAGATAAGTATAAAAATCTGACTAACAAATTCAATAAATGGATGATATTGGATAAGTCGTGAAATGTTTAATGAACTGCTCTGTATTTCAAATTATTTATTCCTCAGGTTTAGATTTGTGGACAGTTGAGTGTGGTGTTCTGAGATATTGAATAAACCTCAGCTTTCCTGTGAAAGTGACTGTCTCATTAGCTGTCAGAGCCCAAGAGAGAAGAAATTAATAGTAGACACTGATATTCATATCAGAATGTGCATAGAATATTTGTTTTAGATTAATTCAGAGGTTTCTCATTTTATGATTTGTTTTTTAAGTTGAGACTCACTCCTTGATAATTGAGACAGTTTTTTGAAAATTATCTATCAATGAAGGTATTTGTTTGTTTAATTATTTAGGATGATATTTTTCTGTGTATTCTGTTAAACATGATGTACATAATTAACACTGATGTGGTCTAGGGGAAGAAATCACATGTTATTTCTTACTTTATTATACAGAAGAAGAAGACCTGGCAGCTCTTGATTTAAGGAAGTACAGGATGGAACTGATTACTGCTAACTGTCTTATTGAAAATGATGATGTGGATATAGTAAGTTTTTTCTTCTTGATATTCTTATAGTCAGTGTAAACATGGACATGTTGAAAATTTTTCTTGTACACTACACCAAATATTAAAGGAGCAAACATTTAATGTACTTAAAACTTGCACCTGAATATAATTTGAAAAACTGATAGATCACTAGTTAAGTGCATGTTCAATAAATGCAATAGAGGTCGAGTATTGGTAAGTGCAGTAAGTTTTAACCTAAAGTCCTTAGAACACCTATAAGACCTCTTTGAGTACACCTACACCTCAACCTATCATGTAATATCAGAGAGTTCAGCATTGCACTAATTAAGAATGGGACAAGATCCACAATTACGTGCCACACAGGTGCAAGGTCTCTGTCGGTACTTGTACTACTGAGTAATTCATTTTGCCATATGTTACTTTTTCAGACAAGTTCATTCCATCAGGCTCCAGCTCTAACTACCTTCAATTTGAGAGTACTCATATTCCATGGATTGTAAATAGCTCTCTCTCTCTCTCTCTATATATATATATATATATATATATATATAATACTATAACTATATATATA